CGTCATCGACTGATAACAGGAGTTCCGTAAATAGCATCTGTTGCTGGTTCGTTCTCATCCTAATAGTGATGCTCGGGACACGCAACCCACGTTCTGTAGCAATATTCCAACCCAGATTCCAACCAGTCCTGGGGGGGAGAAGTCGAAGTGCATGTGGAATTCCACGTTCTAGGTTTGCGTAGGAAAGTCTAGAGGCGTATTTGTCCATTATGACGCCCCTTGTCAAGGTCGAACTTTCATGTGAGATAAGATTAGGGCTACTGCTCATGTAGGTCGATCCCCGTAGAGAAGCTTATCCATCTATTGCCTGTTTCTTAAAGCTATATTCCCCCTTCCACAGGGTATGAAAAAAAAGCGACCTACATATCTCTGCTCACAATGGAGCCATTTTAACGAAACGTGAACAAATTTTGAGAATCGGCAGGAAAACGTGCTCATATATGCAAAGGGAAAGTTTCGCATAAATAGCTCAATTGGGAACTGAGATATTAAGATTAAAAGTCATTGGTATTTTTTTGCCATACCTTGTAGCTCTGTATTTTAGGATTGCCGTTTCAGGAGACACATGTGGTATTCCTCTTCCCACTTTTCAGGAATAAATTTACATGATGATTTTAAGTGAAACCCCTGAAATTGGGAGACATATATTGAGAGATATAATATAGAGAAAAGACTTGAAATATTTTCCTTGAAAATTTTTGTTCATGACATTTTGTACGCTGATTCGTCACAGACCTCAAAAGCCATTTTCGACAAATGTGACACACAATCCTTAGAAGAACGAGTCGAACCGGTTTGCTCCCATAGCTTCATGGGAGGGCGTGCTTGGCTTTGCGAGGGTCTTCTCCTTTTTTTCTCGCTCCGACTGGGACGGAATCCACAGCACCTAGAGTTTATGGTTTCAAACATGTGGCTCCCGCGTGGTCCGAGCCCCAATCCGGTGGATTATGGTATCTGGGGAAATTGCGAAGAAGCAGCTATTGGTATTATAGGATCGGACATTTTAGGACCACCATACGCCACGAACAGGAAACCATCCCAATACAGTTTTTGGATTAAAGCAATTCGGCAGTGGTGTCTACGTTTGCAGGATGTGCTATACGACCTTGGAGGACACCTTTTGCACATTTTGTTGAAGTAACTCTGAAATGTGGGCTTGCATTTGCATGATGATGAAATCGATCTTTAGGTTGTTAATGCTCAATAAAAGCAATTTAAAATCAATGTCTCTTTTTTTGCCCATCCTGCAGACAAAACCAGCACACCAAACAACGAAGTCTTGTCCCCTAGAAGTCCCCAACTTCAATGCCGCTTGGATTGATTGGTTCCATCCTTCAAATCTCGAGGTTTAAAATCGATTAGTATTTAAAAAACAAAAGTAAGTAAAGAGGTGGCAGAGAAGACAGCCCCAGCCCCCCCCCCCCCTCCCCGAGTAGCCTGCTTATGTACGCCCATGCCTGCACTATTGTCCTTGTCCTACCCGATGCCTTCTTTCGACTTGGTCATGGCTAATCTGATGAAGATCAAGGCCTAACCCTTTTCTTGTAGCATTTAATCTTCCCCTCTCTTCTTCATGAACTTGCCATGCATGATGTAATATCTTCAAGCTCTCTCTTGGTAAAGCGGCTTTATTGCAGGCTGGTGATTTCGTCCACGGAAGAAGCAATTTTTAAATGAAAAGAGCGATATGTTTTTTGAACCAAACAAAACAACCACGGTTGCGCAATGTGCTTTGAAAAGGATCCAGATCTGCTTCTGAACCCAACTTGAAATTAATATGCATTTGGATGAGATGCTTTAAATCTTATCTAAATATGTATTTAGATGAGATGTTTGGAATTTAGATATCGATACAGGCATCACGAAAGAATCTGGTCAATATGCTTTTTATACAGCTAGTTAACTTCATGTCATCACTGAGGTCTCTCGGAACCTTCCATCTTCCCGGAAGGGAAGGGCAATGCATGCGTTATGCTCCAATTGTGTTTCCAGCATCACGGTCCTGGCCATTACGCTTCCGTAGTGTGTGGCCTTTACCACATCATGGACTCGTATGCCTTCTCCGGGGCTATCGCAACCTCGCGAGTGTTTCCAGTATTTACTATTCAAATTTTCAATCTCATATCTCGGGTCATGGACCTCTACTGTGTGATATGACTCTAGCAACGGCCGCACTCTGCCTCAACAGCTTCATTTTATTCGGAATTATTCACGTATTGTTCAAAAGACCTGCCGAAGATGAAAGAGAATTGAAAATCGTTGAAACTAAAAGAAAAAAAAAGGGGGAGGGGGGAGGAAGAATTCTACGTAGTAGTTGATAGGGCATAGGCATCCGGGCGTACGTAGCCTTGGGATAAACCCCCTATCTTCTACAGTCTCTCTTCCAAGGACATTCTATAGGGCCATTCTTAGGCCTTGCTCTGCTCCAAGTTGCCTCAATCCATACAGTCACGTTAAGTTCCTTTGTACGCGTAGTCGTGCTTATGAGAACCTGAGCAAACGTGTTCCATGTGAGTGGGGAGGCTAAGTATTGAGGGAAAAAAGTGCTGATTTGAAACAAACTATGAAGACTTACACATTGATACACTTTGATAGCCACTTGAGTGTTGGATGCAACTCGAGAATTCTCTGGGATGGAGCATACAACTCCATCAGACCCCTGGGAACGAATGACGAAATTATGGGCCTGGAGTAGAAGTTCGTCGAAGAGCAATTGGATTGCGTCAAACGAGAAATGAAAACACACTCGGCCTGCAGGCATGTGATGCCGGAAGCATTCTGCGATTAGAAGCCGATGTGCTCTCAGACTCGAACCCGTTCGTTCCCAAGAGGTTGGTTTCGCCGATTTCCCTTATATGAGATGGGAGGCTGGTATGCAAGAACGTGTAAAACTGATTTTTAAAAAAGCTATTTTGAGGGGTATCGTATGATAAATTTGATAGGTTTGATAAGTTGGCCATATGCAGAAACATTTCATGCCTATCATGATAGGGTATCGTGATTGGTACAAAAATCGCAACACTCTATTATGATCCAGAGTTTGTTTATTCTGCTTATAACGAGCTCCCAGGGTGGATGCAGTGCATTTTGCTAACCCAATAAATTATGTGAACCATTGCAACTTCTGCCGAGCGCAGTTGCTCTGGGATAGACTAAAGCCCTTATAGTTCTTGGTATCAAGCCACGGCAATCGGAATTCAAGCACTAGTCTGGTAAACGGGGTCAGATTAATGCCATTAAATCATCACATTATATTCTGGTCAGCCATAATGCGAAGACATGCACATGACATAATTCCTGGGCGCAAGACGATGGAAGGGAGGTTGTCATCAGGAAGATTCATGACACCCCCCAAACAGCATGTTTATGTTAATTTTACGTAAAATGAAAGTAAATTTTTTTCCATTTTATATCATTTTTACGCAAACCATTGTCAAGAAAATGTCAACATGTTTGCAGTAATGTCACCTCTGTGATACGTAAACGGTGATAAAAATTTTACGTAAACGTGATGTCATTTTCATGGCAATCACAAGAAATTTACATTGTTTGCAAAAAATTGATATCTAGTTTACGTGAACATGTTGCTTGGGCCATCATGATAGGTATTTTATGCCTATTGTAATAGGTATAAAGATATCTATCAAAATAGGCCTCACGATGGATACCTATAAATTGTTCTTGCATACGGAACATAGCAAATTTTAGACCTATCACCTGATACCTATCATGATAGCTGCCATGTAATAGGCTATTAAGTGATAGGTTCTTGCATACGAGCCAAATTTTTTTTTTATATTTTATAATTTATTATATAATTATTATATATTATATTATTATATATTATATTATATTATATTTATTATTATATAATTTGAGATTTTGATTTTTTCTTTTGAGCACAATTTTTGACTCTTCAGGTATGAATTTTTGGACACGGTAAAAAAAATTACAGGTGTAGAGTACTTTGCGAGTTGGGGGAACAGTGATACCAACTTCAATGAAAATCTATAACAAATTGGCAACATCTGTGGCATCTAGGCATTCGGGGATCAGTTTTGACCAATTTAAAATGCACTGAATCAAACGTCCATGTATGTGTCAATATCCCTGAAGAGGTTAATGGTTAATTCTTGTCAGCCCGTGTGGCTCAAGAGGAGAGGCTTCGGCCGTGCTTTTGGGGATGTTTGTGCGCGTGTGTCTCAGGTTTTCTTTCAAGGTAAATTAGGGAATTCGCATAAACAAGAAACTGCGCCAAAATATTCACCATCCTTTCCCACGCTGGAGTGGTAGAAGTATATAGGGAATCCTTGATTTATATATAGGAATACTTTGTGGTATTCCTATACCCTTTCCCTGCGGGAAAATATGAGGAAGAAGGTGAGAAGCGGCAAGGGGGACGCTGAAAGAATCAGAAAACTCTCCTGAACTCCTGACTTGCTATCTTTTTGATATATCTGACCTTCTTGGAGTGTCTGGGGTGGCCATTCCATTCGACCAGGAAAGCTCAGTCAGGAAAGCTAAGCAAAGATTTTGAGTTCAGACGGAACAAATGGTACACACCATCTGCAAATACATGAACAGGGCCGACGCAAGCTCTATTTGCGAGTCAGCTCTTCATGGCGCAACTAAGGGGGTTTGAACGAGACCTGAAAATTGAAACTAAGATTTTATGAAGAACTTTATCTCCTCCAGAAGTTTGAAAAACCTTCACCCCCCCCCCCCTCTTCGCTCCCTTCCCGAAGATACATACGGGCGGGGGAAACGATTGCAGCAAAGTTCCCTCTCAGCATCCCCCCCGTTCGCAGCCTCGAGAATCTCTCTCGTAATCGCAGCGGGCGGGTAGCAAATGCGGGCCTTACCCCCCAAAACTCAAGTCTGGTCGAGCCACTGCCGGCCTTGCGCATGCAGAAGACTATAGGAGGAGCAGACACTTCCCATTTGCTGCAAAAGTGAGTCGACGGGGCTGCTGACGTGGTGACGCATTGCACAATCTAGCTGTTGCAACTCGTCGGCGGCTGCGCAAGGACTTCCCTTGCGTGCTCCGTTGTTCCTGGCCCCGGTCTGCTCCATTTAGTCTCGTGTCGGTGTTGAGTCTGGTGGTATACCTGTGCCGTTGTGTGACTGTCAAGTCATTCTCCGATACCATGCTGGGGTACGCCCGGGTGAGTGAAGCCACTGTCACTTCTCGAAGCCACGCTCATGAAATGCGAAACGGCCGGACGCCTCGATGGCATTCCGCATGAAAGATTCATCGCCGCGTACCTTCCCGCATCACCATACAATCACCCACTCGATGACGAAACTTCCTTCGTGCTTTCTCCCTTGCACCGTCTTCTTGGGTTCATGCAGGGAACAGTGATGGAGAATCCATCGTTCAACGTCCAAGATGCAGCAAAGAGGCTTCGAGAAGCCATGAAGGGACTCGGTACAAACGAACGAGTACTGATAGATGTCCTCTGCAGTCATAGCAATCGCCAAAGACAGATGATCCGAGCCCAGTTTCAGGGCCTCTTTGGACGGGTACGCTTTTCATTTCATAAGATTCAGCTGACAGCTGCTTTCCCTTTTTCTCGTCAGAGAATGCGGCTAATTCATTGCGCTTGTTCGTATCGCTTATTCATACACGTACTATTCGTCCATTGTGGTATCTAATATCACGTATTGCATGCACGAACATATGACCCTGGCAGGACTTGGTCAAGGACATAGAGAAGGAGACGAGCGGACGATTCGAGGAGGTCTTAATAGCTCTGCTCACGCCCTCGTACGAGTACTTGGCCATCTGCCTCCAAACTGCCTTCCAGGTTAGCTACTTATCATTTTCTCGTGATATCGTTGATGCATTGATACGTTGACTGTAATATTTCAGGGAATGGGGACGGACGATAATGCTGTCGTCGAACTCCTCTGCTCTCGCACTCCAACCGACATCCAGGCAATCAAACAGGCATACCACAGCAGTAAGTAATCGGCTCTGTGTGGTTACTTTCGCGGATGACACGAGTGGGTTCATTGCAGAGTATGGGAAGCCGCTGGAGAGTCGGGTGAACGGAGAGCTGTCAGGGACGTACAAGAAAGTGATTTTATCTATCTTGGCTGGGCAAAGGGACCAGTCCACGTGGGTCGACGAGAGCCGCGTCATGCAGGACGTTTCCGTCAGTTTCTCTCTTTTCAACCCTTTAAGCCTTTGCATGTCCCTAGAGCAGTCCCTGTAGCTGCTATGGTCTTTCGCCGTGGTGTTTGCAAGCGGGACATTTTCGACATTTCCCGCGATTTCTCAGGATTGGGATAGAGTGGGGCAAGATGAACTCCAAAAGATGTTTGTCGTATCTTAGCAGTTTGAGTTGGAACAGAAGCACTTTCATTAAAACCATTTAAATGTGTGGTTTCAATGTGAAGATTACCTTGAGTTTCCTGTGTCCGATCGTGTCCTGCATATGGGACGAGATGGGACACTTTATTCAGTATTTCTCCAACTCCTTCGATTGGAGATTGGTGAATCGAAAAGGTCTTGTGTAAACAAAGAAAATTTGGAAAATTAGCTTCTATTTCCGACGTCATCCTTGTCTATTAACGAAAAAGATTCACTTTTGCTATTAATTCATTCAGCTCTCACCTGACAGAGCCACGAAAAATAAAACAAGAATGAACTTCTCCTGGGCATATTCCAGGTGTAAGTGTTTCGTCGTGCTTCTGCACTAAGGGAGGCTTTCTCTTTGGGCCCATCGTTTGACGCTTAACACGTTGGCGACAATGCGTCCTGATGCCAGGATGCAGATTTTTTTTTTCAATGAATACCCTCTGATGGCAGGACGCATTTTTTGACAAAAAAAAAATGCGCATGGTCCCACGCGGCGGACAAGCAAAAATAGGCTGGTCGTCAACGTGTTAACGGGAGGTTTTGCATAACAAGTCCTCCATGGAGCAGCATTCTACCTTGCCCCAAGCCAGACTCATGAACGGAAATGTCTTTAGATTCTGCGCCTCTTGGCAATAATTACCAAAATCGCTTTCAATAGCAGACTTGTCTGACTACATTTGTTATTAGACTAGCGTGCCACTGCCGGATATCATGATCGGAGGCTGCAAATGACGTCGGACGTCAGTCATCAACTGCCTCTTCGATAGTCATGGCATGCTAAATCGAGATCTGGAGGCTGTACATAATGCAAAAACATGAGGGCTCAGAAAGAGAAAACAGCTCGATCTTGCTTTGCTCTACCCCACATCAGTTGGCATCTCAATGGCCGTTTCATGGCTCAATGCCAATATCAACAGGCATGCTCAGAAAAATTAGTTGGGAAGGACTGCCTTTTTTTTTTTACCCCTACAAATTTATGCGAAAATGTCAGAAGTGTTTACACCAACCTTCAGCGAATAATTTGAGGCTCAAAGGCATTCTGAGAAAGGCTGCTAGATCGTCCCATAAAGATTTTGGTCATTTTAGCTCCCTCCGATGAAAAACTGTCAAGGTTCATATGAAGCAACGCTGGCTTTTGCTGAGGAGTCAGCAGACCCGCTTTGTTTCTTATTGTCTGTTGAGATCAGAGCAACAATTCTAAGGCAGTGATTGAAATCCATAGGTATGGGCTTTTGAGGTGGTCGATATGCAGACTTACGCTTAAGTTCTCTTCGGACTAGAATGGGCGAATGCCGAATCGAATTCCCGCTTGAATCCCAAGTAAAGGGAGACGCAGATCTTACTTCAGAATCTTAGAATTATCATCATGTTTAGAGATTCGAATCCTGCCTCCTGAAATGGAATTTTAATCTCAATTTGACCATAAAATAAATGAGAGTTCGATCCAATATTTCCTTTATGGTGCAATTTATGGTTTATCTTCTCTCTCTGTGCTTCGGGTTTGCCCTCAGTTTTTAGAAGCGCTTCAAATATCTTTCCATTTTCCCTGGCTCCAATCACTATGCCCCCCCAAAAGCCACATCTTACGTCAACCGAGTAAACCCAGCATTTTTGGCGCCCTGGAAAGCGAAAATGGAGAATCCAAATATTTGGGCGAAATCCAGTTGGAAGAGCCGTTGGAGCGCTGAAAGGCGGGGAATCAAGGCATCCGCCTTCAGAAGGAGGAAACGGAAAAGGCAGGAATATATATTTATGCTTGGACATATTCTGGCCTCGTTGCGAACGTGATTATAAGCTTATAACATGATAGTATTCGATGTAAGCATACTCAAATGCATGTTTTGTTGACTGGAGCCGTATGCATTGGAATCCAGATAGAAGGACGGAATTAGTTCATACTGCGAAAGATCTTTCAAGAATATTCAAATGCTTTCCCCACTGCGGCTGAACTTCAAGGTGCATCAAAGAGACAGGGAATATTCTCAATGTCTCCTTGGAAGCATATTTTAGAACCATCCTGAAGGTGGAATTCGAATCCCGCTTCTTATCGGACAGGGTGGAGGTGAGAACGAGCGGATGTCCTTTCGGCTTGACCATCAGGTTCTGCGAAGACGGAAGCATACGTCGACGAGACATAAATAAATCAGAGGCACGCGGTGAAGAAGGCTTGGTTGATGCAGGCGGCAAAGGATACTGCCATATGCCACATGAAAAGGCGGAGGGTTTGGTCGTTCTGCGTGCAGATATCAGTTAGGTGAAAGTAGTCGGATTATCCTGATCAGATGAATTCCGAGAACTTGATTGAATAGTGAAATGCCCTTGTTGAACGTGCCACTTCCTTCAGTGGCGGTGTCGGACGACGCATACTATCATTTTTCAAGCCACCATGACCGTTACCGACCTACTCTGGAGGGGAAGAATAAATGTGTTGAATAAATATGGCATCCAATGTGATGGAGATCGCCTGAAGAAGCTGATATCCGCGGATAAGCGAATGAATCACGCGCTTTCGCGGTGATGTGGAGCTAAAAAAAGGATGCGTCATCGTGAGTCATACGCCCACGCATCGTCTCCCTCCTTGGCAAATTGCATTGAACTATGTGAGCAAGCTGGATAATCTCTGTTGGGAATCGGAGAGAATCCAATAAATTCCTCTCCTTATCAAATATGATGGGGCTATCTGAAGTTTATCACGAGAAGGATTAAAGTCTCAATATCCATTGACGCAGCGAGCGTGACATTTTGCTGTTATTGCCTTTTTTTGCTGATTCCGTTGCAGGAAAAACCAAACAGCTAAATTTTAAGTTGTTTTTCTTGTTAATTAGGTGAATTTTTGTGCGCTCTGACTTTATTTAAATAAAAAATGAATGAAAAATCTTGTGAACAGGAAAATGCCTGCGCAGGAGTGAAAAAGCACAGGCTAATGTGTTAAGGGGAAAATCCCACATTTATTTATTGCGCACGGTATTGCACATAATACAATTTTTCTTAAAGGAAGGTAAATAAAAGTGATTCCATCGAATTCCCATTGGTCCATCCCATAAATCCTACGCACGTTTCTTTTGTGATATATTTGAGTGCAAAGTAGTCAAATTTGGCATCTGATCACAGACGTCATAGGTTGAAAAACGAATTTGGAGTGTTGCTACCCATTCCTCTCCGCTCGGGTATAATGTCTAGCTCTGATGAAATCTCCCTTTCCTTGAAAATGATATATTCTGTTCTTCGTTTGAAATCTCGAGTTGTCGGACTCGGGTCAGGGACAAGGACATGGCCTTTGTGACTCGTAATCGTAAATTTATGGTGTATCCAAGGAGTGCCAGTATAATGTTTCCCTACCGTTATTGTGGCTTTTCCAATCGCATTTGCACCAGACCACGTACTTCAGAGAAACTTCTGAACAATGCTTCGGTCGAACTGATAATAGAATTTAATTTTTTCACAATTACGGATCTGCTTCAAATCAGCAGGAGTCTTCCAGGAAAGCATTTCAGAGTCCACACATTTCCAGAATCGTTCTGAAAGGGGATTCGAGTCTACTCTCGATTCTGGTTTTGCTCGTGTTTTAACACCACCTCAAGGCATATTTTAATGTGCAGCTATAACATATGTACAGTTCTGAAAGGGGGGGGGGGGGGGGGCCGCGCCGCTTAGCGCCGTACCAACCATTCCTACTAAGGAGTTATAATCATTTGTGCAGTTGTTTTTTTCTTCTTTACAATATGCCCTGTAACACCATGTTTCAAGTTATTCGTTCTTGTTTCTCTGAAGGAACTCGTATCAGCAGGAGTGGGCAAGTGGGGAACAGATGAATCTGTGTTCAACATGATAATCTGCAACCGTTCGTATGCACATCTCCAACGCATCTCCCAGCAATACATTCGGCAAACCGGACGCAATCTCACCGATGACATCTCCAGGGAATTCTCTGGACACGCCAAAGCCGCTCTAATTGCTATTGGTACAAGAAATGCCTAAGTCAATTGCTGTGTTTAATCCCATTTCCAACCTCACAGGTACTTGAACACGAAACATGTCTCTCTGCAGTTCAAACAGCCCTGGATGCTCCGTTGTTCTTTGCCCAGAAGATCCATGATGCCCTCAAAGGTCTTGGGACCAAGGACAATGTCGTGATCCGAGTTCTCGTCACCCGATCTGAAGTGAGTTCTCATGGATTTGTGGCAGACGTTACTCTCCTAGCATTCTTATGGCTCTCCTCGCTACCTCGTCCTTGTTCGTGTTTGGTTTGTCCAGATCGACTTGGAAGACATCAAGCAGCGCTACGTGGCCATGTATAAGTGCTCTCTGGTGGATGCCATTCGGAAGGATACGAGCGGCGACTACGAGAAGGTCCTCGTTCGCCTTCTGGGCGCTTGAAACTTGAAGAACCAGCCGTCAGATTCGTTCTTGCCGTGCTTCGTGGACTGATTCCTTCATTACGCCGAGTCGATTTTCCTATTTGTCATATTGCTTCTGAGTAATTTTATATAATGAAAATTGCAAGATAAAAATGAAATTATTGAAAAGAGAATAAATAATGTATAATCGGAAGAGAATGCTTGGAATAGACAAGTTCTCATTCTCTCATTCGTTGCAGATTCTGACACAACACAGACACGAACGAATACCCATGTTGTTTACCTATGATCGATCTTCAACCCTTTGTTGCACACTGATATATCAGTACGTATTGCTTTGTCGCTTTATACAATTTAACGCTAGACGGCTACCAACATAATATCAAAGGTTAAACGCATAGTAAGTTCAGAATTTTTCGAACTGGGAGGACTGTGCCCAAACTAGGCATCTCGGAACATATTGTCGGAAGAGTTTGATATCTATGCGCTTCCCGCATGCGAAGTCACTGGAACGCGCATGAAGGCTACTAAAGACTGCCATGTACAAAGTGTCAAGTGTCATTTGTTGTTCTGCTGTTTGCAGCGAACATGTTACAATTCGAGCAGCGTGCAAATGTCAAATTTTCCCAAAAATGAAAGAAAACTTCTGCAGGATCCTCACACTGTTGAAAGAAGCGTACGGGAACAATGCGGTGCCACGGTCCCAGGTATTCGAGGGGTGCCGACGTTTCAAGGAGGGGGGGGGGGGGGACTGGGGAGGACCTTCCACAACAGGTACACCGGAAATCTTCGAGAAAGTGAGGAAATGCGTGAGTAGGGATCGTTGCCAGGGTGTTCGAGAACTTGCGACCTCTGTTAACATCTCTGTTGGAACATGCCACACTGTATTGACCGAAGATTTGAACATGCACATGTCTGCCAACACCTCGTTCCGCGTCTCCTCGGAGACGATCAACGCCACGATAGCGAGACAATCTGCGGAGAGCTGGTGGAGCTCATTGACGCTGCAGACGCAGACGCTACCCTATGGAAGGGGATTACAGGTGACGAGACGTCTTGTTTTCTGTACGATCCGCAAACAAAGCGACTATCATCTGCGTGAAAGAACAAAGGTTCGCCGCGTCGGAAGAAGTTCCGCGCAGATGGTTCTAAAGGAATAATCATGTTGGAGGTTTTCTTCGACTAACACGGCATTATCCATTGCATATTCATTCCCAGGGGGTGAACGGTCTATAAAGAGTTCTACGGAGATGTCTTGCGTCGCCTCCGTGATGCAATCAGGAGGAAACGACCAGAGATGTGGGCAAAGAAAAACTGGATCTTCCTTCGCGACAACACACCCGCTTACCGGTCGCTGATGTTGACGTAGTTCTTGGCAGACACGGGAACAGCTGTCCTGCCACATCCGCCTTACTCGCCCGATCTCGCTCCGTGCGATTTCTTACATGTTACCGCGAATGAAGAGTCTTCTCTAGCGCCGATGAGGTGATGGAAGCTGCGACGGCTGCGCTGAAGGAGGTTGCAAAACGGGTTCGCTCCCTGCTTCGAACAGCACAGGCGCTGGCAAAAGTGTGTGCTAACCAGGGCCATTACTTTGAAGGAAACACCAGCTGAATTACTTCAATCCGGAAACTATTGCAACCTACTAGACATAACTGCATTCATAGAAATATTAATCCATGGAAATATTCCCATACGGAAAGACACGGTATTATATGCAATTCTCTGTGTCATATAAATTCATATATTTTTCATGCATTGAAATATGACCGCACATATATGAGGGCATATATGATTGAAGCATGTGATCCATGTAAAGATTATTCTTATATTAAATATACCTGGGCAGCATGTATATTCTATATAAAATAAATCTGTAGTTGAAGGGGCGGGCTCCTGCATATATGAGGATGTACCTGGTTTAAGTATGTGATTTTTATAAAGGACTTTCATATATACCAGAAAAAGGTTCCCACATTTTTCATTTAGCTGTCCCTTATTCACTAATTGAGATAGGCGCCTGCAATTTATGCCATTGCCCAGAATGCTTAGACTAAAATCAAACACACTTCATTTTGTAAGAATAGGTTCAGAAGTTTTTGCACAGTGACGATTTTACGGCGAGAGGTGAAAAATTCCCGCTGCGAGAACTGGGATTTCTCCCTCTCACCCGTACGTGTGCACGCGGAGGCCAGCATTGCGTGCAAAAGCATTCCCTGGGAAAACGATAGGCAGACGAAAAAGAAAGAACTCCAAACAACAATCATGAAGATAAGGTCTACGCAGATTGAGGCCGCAAGTACCTCTCTCCGTCAACCGTCTGCTGAACAAAGGGAGCCCTTCATACTGTTCATAATGGTATCAGTAGGTGATTCGCGCAAGGGCGGTTTTCCATCTCGCGCCGTAAAATCGTCACTGTGCAAATACTTTTTAACCGACTTTCAAAATAAGAAGTGCATTTGATTGTAGCTTAGCCATTCTAGACAAACGTACAGGTTGTAGGCACTTGACTTACTTAGCGAAAATGTTACAGCAGAATGAAAAAGGTGAAACTTTTTTTTTGCCCACCCTGTGCATGTTCAGCATGCATTTCATAGCAAAATAATATCTAAACGTATGTTCCAAATGCATAAGGTACAGTATACAATTTATATGGTATGGTCATACCCACATAGCATGGTGACATCCCAGGGATGTCCCCAACTGGACAACTTGTCCCAAGGTTTTATGGGATATTTTAAGGACAACTCCAGTTGGATGGTTTCCGGCATCTCGAAAGGGATGTCTTTGGGACTTCTAGATTTCTTCTAGACATCTTCAGTCGAACAGTCAAAGAATACCATATGGGACAATCCTGTAAAAATAAAGGGTTGTCCAGTATGGCAGGTAATGCGTCTGTTTCAGAAAGAAAGGTACCCAGATATTTTGATATCACTGAGAAGTTCCTACCAGTTATCTCTGGGACTTCTCACTTGTCCCAAGGGGATATCTCTGGGATGTACTCGTGCTGTGTTGGAAGTGAATGGTTTTTGTATATTCACAGAAGTGACGGAGTACCAATTCTCAGCTTAGTTCCTGACGTTATTTGTGACATCTGGGAGAGACTTGAGAGAGTAACATGATTTCATGTATGTTTCATACCTGATTTGGCCATGTCTCTTTATCAGGTATGACATATAGTTCCATTATGTACTAGAACTAAGTCGTGCAAGAATCTTATCTGCTCCTCGATATCTTTTTCATACCTGCTTTTTTATTATAAAATTCTTATATGACCTTGGCCATTACTCATTGTTTCAATAAGAAGATATTGTGACGGATGAGGATGGCATCGTAGAGGCTCGACCGAATGTCCGGGGTTCGGTGGTGTAAAGGTAGCACACCTGACCGGCAATCAGGAGGCCCGGGTTCAATTCCCGGCCGTTCCTTGGCTTCTTTCGTCCTCTCATGCCGTCCGTCTCCCACTTTCCCTCCGTAACAGTATGATCAGATATTTCCTCCCATATATGTCACATATATCACATGTGCCTCTCATAAAACCATATATGAAGGATGAGAACATGAAAAACGAAGGGATTAAAGGTTGAACCTACTTTAAACCTTTGAACCCTAGCTTCCATACCTGTATCCGCCCCTCCACCCTAGGTTCGTTCATGGGCGGGTCGGAGCACCTGTATGGGTTCTTTCAGAAATATTTCCATGGACTCCATAGAAATACTCAACTGCCAAAGGGTTAAAGTTCTATTGCTTTTCCTTTGGTCTCAGTTCTGCAGAAAGCGAATGTTATGATTCTCAGCTTTAATTCTCCTGTTGCCCCACTTTTGTTGAACCAAGTCAGTCTAAGAAATTCATGTCAGGATCACGTAATCAGGCCAGTAGAGGGGGAGGGGCAAAAGGGGCAATTTTGCGCTGGGCCTCTTGCCCCATGCCCGGGGATCCTTACATCGGCACCATACCGTTAACTAGCATACTATTGTTCAGAAGGGTAGCGTTCGTTAGCAATGAAGAGTTGATCGAATGTGTTCAAAGCGCAGAGGGACGAGTGAAAGGGAGGGGGGGGGGGGGGCATCCCCGTACAAATATTTGCCTCTGGCCCAGCAATTCCTTTCGGCGACCCTGCATGTAATCTTAAGGTGATCTGACTGTCAGGTTCCAGTAGCGCTACCTCAGTCTCGACAGAGGACTAATTGTCCCAGAATTTGCAGTATGAGCCTCGAACAGTCCAGCGAACTGTTGAGAGCTGAACAGGCGAAATTATGAAGGTCAGAGGAGGATTAGTCCAATGGTTTCAGGTGGTTAAATTTGTCTGAAAGTATCACTCCCAAGAGGTGCGACGTTGTCACTGAACCTATCCATTTCAGATGGATTCATTGTCCAATATTTCAAGCGGCACATTTCTTTGCTTGGAGAGGCAGAAGCAGTCCAGAAGAAGAAAGGCGCATGGGCATGCTTATCAGTAGAGCAGCGAAGGAAGTAGGACGCATGTGTCCCTGCTGGAGGGAGCAAGGAAATAACGTTCAGAGAATTTGTGCGTCACCTTGATAACCCTCTGCGGAGAAGTATGGTCAGGGGTGATACGATATTCCATCTCCATTATGAATTGCTGCAGTTTATCTCGTGGGTACATATACAAGATGTAAAAAAAAAAACGTGGGCATGGTGTAGAGCTGAAATAAATTTATGGGGCAAAACTGAGGCAAGATCTCAGGAGTAAAATTTTACTTATCTCGCGTATTCTCTTAAAGATAATCCACCTGGGGTTGAGACTCCGATGTAAACTCTCTTCAGACGTCACTAGATGTATTCAGGAGTCAGGAGTCAGGAGAGTTAGTGATATCAAGAGGCGATTTCGCCCATTTCGATATCACGTGTCGAGGTCGAGCGTTCCTTAATTTTAGGGTAGGCCTAACCCTCTTAAAGCTATATATTTTTGTATTTTTGTTTTTTTTTTTTTTTTTTTTTTTTTTTTTTTTTTTTTTTTTTTTTTTTTTTTTTTTTTTTTTTTTTTT